ACCCAGTTAACACTGCAATGAGAGCCATTGCAAATTCTCATTTTATTGACAAAAAGAACCTGGGTTTCTTGGCAAAAGTAGTTGATATGAAAAAGGTAAACTGCTGAGTGAGAATGAAAAAAGCAAGTAATTAAAACTACACCCACGAAATTCAGGACCAAAACAGCCAGACATCTTTCAGAAAAGGAAGCTGATAAATTAAAGAATTTCCCTAGATACCCAGAAAATAACCTTTTATATTTGGGATTCAACTTCAGTGTTTGAAACTCCAGGATTTTCTTTTGGCTAAACACAAAGATTCTTAGGAGGGAATCCCTTGCTGTTGTTATTTGGTTTCAGCGGGGTTCAGAAGGGCACATGGTAACTTGGCTGTAAAACACTAAGAGACACCTTCCCCATTGCCAACCCCCTCCCCAACTCGCCACTCATGTAATCTGAGGCTCTCGGTCACAGGCAGGTTGCAGACACCAAATAAATTAGGCAGATGGAACTCATACGTCAAAGACGCCTACTTGAATTCCTTTTTGGCCATTAGTGCATTTCCTCTCTTTCTTTTTTAATCAGCCTCATAAATCTGACCTTGACAAGGTCCTGCCTCTCTATAGCATAGTTGGAGGTGAGATGGTAATATGTCCCAGAGCTTTCATTTTCTTCTCCACTTGAGTGACCACCAATGCCATGTGGCACCCATTCATTATGGGGCTCAGGTGCGGCTGTGAGGAGGCATGTGCCAAGTCCTGCCAAACTGGTTACTCCTTCCAAAAGAACAGGATGGTTCTCCACACACTGAATATCAGATGATTACACTTCACAGTGCCCAATGCAATCCTGGCATGCCTAGAGCTGTAAGGAACACAACACATTGTTAGGTATTCTTCTGAGTATCTGGTTCATAATAGCTATTTACATACTGGCTAATGACTACCTGGATTCACATAATTTTTAAGGGGGTTTATCCAGTTCAAGAATTGAAGACAAAATCAGAGTTGTCCAGAATAGTAACCTTGTTCTTTGAGGTGGGAGCAAATGCCAATGGATTTGTGTTGAATTCACCATTTTCAGGGATATCTGACTCAATGTTTGTCTCCTGGTCTTGACAATGGAAATCTGGAATACCGACCTAGCTCATGTGGGCAAAGTGTGGATTTCTCACCACTTGTAAAAAGCTGCCTTCTGGCTTCTAGCAGTTACATCTTTGCTAGTCTTGGGTCCTTCCTGAGTTTTTGCCGTTTTCTCTCTGCCCTTCTTAGAAGGAGGCCGTCTCTTTTTCTCCTTTCAACCAGAGGCTGTCCACAGCTGGCTCAATGTCCCCTTGTGCTGTCAGGTCCCCTCCCCTCCTCCTTGGTTGGGGAGGGGAAGTTTCAGGCACTCCCTTTATTCTTCAAGCATGATTTGTACCCATAAAATGTGGTAGCTATGGGCAGTCTTTTTCTATAGCGGTCTTTCTATCTAGTCCATTTTAAAGACCTTGAGAAATGGAGATACCTTATCGTACTCTGACAGCTTATTTCTGCTATTCACAAAACAGCATTAAACTCTTTTTATGGGCTCATAACAAAATAGCCTATTGAAAGAATATAATGGCCCTCGTGCTTTTGAATGCTCATCATTTCACTATTACTAAGGATGCTTTATGTTTTTAGGGGCCTGATGATAGGTCTTCACGCTTTTCATTAGGGCATAATCCTTGGGAGAGTAATGCTGTATACCACTTCCAGGACTGTGGCCTGCAAATGTGAGCAGTCACCAAATATTATTGTTGGAGCTGATAAATGAGAACAATGACAATAGCTGTCATTCATATATTGAGCTCTTTTTATAGAGCAGATTTTGCATTCTTTATGTTGATAAGTGCTTTATATCCATTATGTGTTTGGATGCTCCTAACATTCTAAAGAAAGATATTATTATTCTTATCCCCATTTCATGGATGAGGAAATTGAGGCCTGAAGAGGCTAAGTAATCCCCCATTGTGAAAATCACACTAGAACTTAAACCCACGTCTCTCTGATGACACATCCTAGACTCTATGTTGTACTGTTACTGTGTGATCATAGATTATTAGATCCCCCTGTCTTCGCTATGAGGACACATATTTTCTTAGTTTCCCCCCCTATTTTCCTTCTCATGCTTTCTTGTGGTACCTCCTCTTCTAATGGAAATCTAAATGCTTGTGCCTCAGAGCCTGGATCTAGACCTCTTAGTTTTTCTAGCTATACTTTCCCCTAAGCAATTTCATCAAGTCCCATGAGTTTTATTATCACTATGCATATAGCACCTATGCGCTCATATAGCCAAAATCTAAATCTCTAGTCCAGATGCTTCCCTTACTCTCAGGTTCACACATCCAATTGCCTCTCCAACTGAGACTGGCAGTACCATTCAAGCACTCACACCAGAAATGTAGCGTGGCTCTTGATCGCTTCTTTCCCTCATCTGCACTCACAGTAATTTTTTGAAGTTCATTTTTATTTTTAACTTTTATTTTAGGTTTGGGGGTACATGTGCAGGTTTGCCATATAGGTAAACTCATGTCACGGGGTTTATTGTACCGATTAGTTCATTACCCAGGTACTAAGCCTAGTACCCAATAGTTACTTTTTCTGCTCCTCTCCCTCCTTTCATCCTCCCCCATCAAGTAAACCCCAGTGTCTGTTGTTCCTTTCTTTGAGTCCATGAGTTCTCATCGTTTGGCTCCCACTTATAAGTGAGAACATGCAGTATTTGGTTTTCTGTTATTGCATTAGTTTGCTGAGGATAATGACCTCCAGCACCATCCATGTAATTCTATGATTTTGACCTTTACCCATTTCTCTCTGTTTCCACTGCTGCCTCCTTAGTCCAAGTTGCTAATATTTCTTGTCTGCATGATTGCAATAGCTTCCTGACTGGCTTCCCTGCCTTCATACTTGCTACCCCCAGCTTCAATCCATTTTTCACATAGCTGTCTGAGTGACATTGCAAAACATTAATCAATGCCTCTTCCCTGCTTAAAACTCTTCCAAGTTTTTCTTTGGACTGGAGTCCAAACTCCATAGTTTGGCCTTCAAGGCCTGCATAATCTAGCATTGACTGTTTCTGCAATTTCATCTCATACTGCCCCTTCCTCATTCACTACTCTCTAGGTCTCTTTGCAGTTCCTCAGTGACACAAAACTCTTTCCTGCCTCAGGACCCTTGCACTGGCTGTTCCCTCTGCCTGGAATGCTCTTTCTCTGGCCCATGGGTGCTCAATAATGTTCATGGAATAAATGAGAATAGATTGTTTCTCTTTTTTGAATACTATAAATAACTAATATGAGAAAAATAATGTGTCATTAACATTTTAGCCATTTGTATTTATAACATTTAAATTATATGGTCTTAATATGATAGACCTATGGAATTTCTGAAGCATGTTTATGTGTTTACATGGATGGAGTAGGGAGGATAAGCGAGTGGGAGGAAGGTATTTAGCATGTGGTAATCATGAATCATGCATCCTGTGAGACAGATTGTGATATCCCTATTTTTCAGAGTTCAGGTGGTTTGGGAAGTTAGGTCACTGGCTAAGGGTGAACAGGTAGAAAGAAGTGGGCCTGGAATTTACATGTGGTTTGACCCCAGGACCCGTGTGCATTCCCCAGATCCTGGTGCCTTTGAGCAGACACAGCAGAGAGAGAAGTTTGAAGGTAAAAAAGAGGAAGGACACCTGGAAATACTGGCGTTTTTGTTCATCTGGGCAGTATCACAGGTGGTTGTGAATCAGAGACACCGGATATCTTAGTTATATCCAATTCTGCATTATTTGTCAAACATGGCCCAAATGAGCTGAATTAGACCCCAACTTCAAAACCCAGTATCCATACACAAAGAAAAGGTGGTAAATACAGTTAGGTGTGGCAATTAATGAGCCACCATCTGCTAAAACATCACACTTTAAGTGGGACTTAACATGGTTATGGGTTTCTTTGAACTTTTTTTTTTTTCCCTTTCCCACCATATGTGCTTAAAGGCTCCAAAAAGGAAACAGCTTAATCCAGGAATGTGAAAAAGAATGGTGACATTCTGCGGTGTGTCAGTGAAATGAGAAACTTATCAGGCGCTGTCTATTTTGGGGGTTTTGTGGTATTTTATGGTTCCAGGCTTCTAGTCAGTGACAAAATGGCACTGCCAAGATGACTTACCACATGCGTGGGGTATAGCAGAGCACCATGATAGGTGCTGCTTCTAAAATTTACTTTTGGCTTTGCCCTGGACTGAGTTGACACACATACAGAAAATACTCCTTCTCCTCCAAGGCCTAACTAAGATAGCATCTTGGCTTACCCATATTCTTCCCAATGGAGAAACGAATCTCTCTGTAGTAGGTTTTCCTGTTGCATTGTTTTGTACCTCGGTGACAGTACTAGTTTCAGGCTGTCCTCTTTGTGGCTTCATGCATTTCTATCTTCCTCTCCAACTACCCTAAAGCTCCCTGAGGGCACAGACCGTGTTTTCTTCATCTTTACAAAATCCAGTGGGACTTTGCACAATAACTTACATTGGAGGTGCTCAATATATGCTGTTGAATTAAAATAAAATTGTTTTAGGAGAACAATTTACAGTGATGACTTTAACATAAGACACCTCAAAAATGTGCAAAATGCACATTTTGTATATATTGTATATATTTGTAGGTTAACAATATAATTGACTATGTCCTTATATTGAATGCTGAAAAAAAATCTGATACTACCAAGAGGAAACTTTCACACTCTTTATGAAACCTAGTGTGTAGTTTTGGTTAAAATGCATAGTCTAAACTGCAGAATCTAAATGTCTGAAATGAGGAAGGATGTTGCTTTTAGTCTTAGCACTGGTGCAACAGGGTGAAAATCTTTTAGAATATGCATGGTTAGGATGGTTAGCTTAGCATAGGTATGTCAACAAAGCATTACCAGAGCTCTGTGTTTGAGATCTCTCTCTCTTTCTCTCTCTCTCTCTCTCACTGTGTGTGTGTGTGTGTGTGTGCGCGCACAGACTTTTTTTCTTAGGAAATATTTATTTAAAGAACTTCCTGACTATAGAGGGAAATATGATGAATGCCATGGATATTATGGTAAGTGTGTTTGGAGAAGGCAAAAGTATTTTGTTTTCTAAATATTTAAACATGACCTGCACATCAGTTGTGATGTTTAAATGCCATGGGAATACCAGGAGCAACAAAGAAGGACTTTGGAATGGTAGAGTGGATAGTTCTCTATAACCCAGAAAGGAGAGGTGGAAGCCAAAAGATGACATAAAGTAACACTTGAAGAATATGCATTTAGCAACAATATCCAGGATAACTGCAGGAAGGTTGATCCTGGAGTCATGGGGGCCAAGGAGGAAGCTGTACTATAATACAGATGTGAGGGGTAGAGGCATATTAAGAGCAAGTGGTAGAAATGTAGAGGAAGGAGTGGATATAAAAGAAATTTCAAAGGAAAAATCTCTCTAACTTTGTCAATGTGATAGATAATTCTAAAATACTGTGTCTGAATGAATTGAGTGATATAACACCAGCAAAAGAGTTGAGGAGGGCAGTTGGACCACAAGGAAATATGAGACTTTAATTTTTAATATCTTGAGCCCAATAATACAGTAAAATACCCAGGTGGAAATTCTCCGGCTCTCCCTGTCATATGAGGGATACTGTTTTTCTCTGCGGGATGCACTGCGGATATTGGATCTGGAGATGGCAAAGAGAAATTTAAGACAAGTAAAGAACAAGCCAAGTTTGAAAACATCAAGGTCATAGCATAGCCGAAGCTAAGATATGCCAGGTGTTCTGGCTGGATATTTGATCTCCCATCATCTTGACTCCATACTGAGCTACATGGCCTCGTACATTGATTATATTCAGGTATAGACTTTTCCTTCCACACATCTACAGCTGTCCAGCTTGTAGTCAGTCATTAGAACATCTTAACTTTATGACTTAAAAATGCACACAAAAATACTTATTTTATAGTGGCCTAAGATATTGAAGCCTCCAAATGTATGAAGTAGACACTAGGCCAAAGAGGTATTCTCTGACTGCAATACGAATATCTCTGATATCCTCTCTTGGCAAAGTTTAACTCATCCTTTAAGAACTAACTCAAAAGTTACTGTCTGTATGTAGCCCACCTGACTCCCTACGGCCGTAGTCTCTTCATTGTCCATATTCCCATAACACTGTGTTCTCTTTTATTTTTTTTTTAACTACAGCATTTACCTCTCATTCTGTCTATGCGTCTGTTTCTCGCCACTAGGCTGGGAGTATCTTGAAGATGGGCACCACTTGCTCATCTTCATATTTTTCACTGCCCTCACAGGGTAGGGGGCTACTGGGTCATAGTTCATTGTTGGAAGCATCCAAAAGGGGAATTTTAAAAACATAGGTGGAGCAACGTGCAGGTGCTATAGCGAAGCCTGTGTATACATCATATGTCACATCCCCGCTGGCACCGTTAATGCTGTACCAGCAGAGGCAGTGCTCCCATTACATACTGCTGGCCCATATTTGTAATGTGTGACATTTTTTATGAAATACTGTCAAGGGCAATCCATCATATAGTAACCTTTGGATTATATGCTGAGACTGGTCTTAAACATAGACATAAATGAACTTCAAGAATAATGCTATTTTCTAAAAAGAGTATGATCAAAGAGTTCTAGCTAGGAAAATGATATAGAATGGTAAGTCCTTTTAAATTAAACAGAAGTGCCTTAAAAAGAGGTTTTCTTCTGTCTAGCTCCAGCTGAAGATAGGGTTATTGTGTAAAGATGATTAGGCGACTCTGGAATGTGGCTGAGTATTTATTTCTTGTAATACATGAGGTGAAGACTTGAAAAGGGGATGAGGACTTGCTAAAGGCTTGACAACCCTTGGGGCTTGCAAGGTTTTGATAACTTTATCTCAAGATGCATTTTTAAAAATAAAAGAGCACACGATGAGTGAATTTCAGATGTCAACTGTGGACCCACAGTTAAAGGCATTCTCTCTACCTATCCATTAAGATCTAGGATTTTATACATATTATAGAGTATAAATTAAAGAAAGCTTCTAAATCTTATCATTTTTGTGTAAATCCAGATAAGACTCCTTTGATGAGCTTAGTGTTTCCTGTGAAGAAAAAGCTTATAGGTGAGAGGAACACTAAAATTATAATTCTTTGTCTTCCCTAATTAGACTAGAGCTCACCATAGATCTTGCTGAAACTGTGAGAAAGTCCAGGCAATAATTCACATTGTCAGGTCAGCAGATATGGGAACGGGGGTCCGATATAACTGAAAGATTTGCTTAAGTGATCTATCTATGAACTGAACAGCTCAGAATAGGCACAGGATCTTCATTGAAAATGTACCCTCTGAAGATGCTAAACACAAACAGCAATGAAAATAAATCCCAGCAAGAGCCTTATACCACCTTTACAGATGTCATTCTAGAGGAAGGATATAAAGCATATTAATACCAATTGAAGTAGGGCACTAATTAATAAGTCCCATTAAATCATGGAATAATGACATTTAGTATATAATGAATGCCTCATAATTTCTTCATCATTAATATTTCATAGCATAAGAACACAAGCATTTTCATCCCTGGGCCAATGCAGCATGGTTTTCTGTCTCTGACGTGACCACAAGGGCATTGAGTGGCACGAGTGTATTGCACCTCTGTGGTATAGACTGACTATACCGCGCAAGTGATTAACTCTTAGCACCCCGGGTCCTAGCGTTTCCTCATTTTAGAAAATGTGAATCTGCCTGTCATTCTTGGAAGTAACCTCTGTGACTGGAAGACGGCAGAACTGCCCCAGGCTCAGGTGTTGACTTTGGTGTGTAGCATTGCTTTGTTATTGACCCCGACCCCCCAGCCCAAGAGGGAAACCTACACAGGAGAAAATCATTACTTTGATTTATTACTGGGGGCTTGCTGTATGCAAAGGCAATAATCACCTCATGGAGCAGGTGCCACTGCCAGGGTTCATTGATTCCAGGCTCCTCTAGAAATTCCAGGAGGCCAGTGAGTCTGGCGGGATATGGAGGTAGTCAACGAAAAAAGAAGTCCATCTCATAGCAGGTTGAAATGAAGTGGGAGAAGAATCTCTGGTCATCGTTCTATCGCTCCACTGACACTCGGTGTCTTTTCTTTCAGAAGAGGGGCTTGAGCAGAGAGAATGCTTAGAGGCTAAGCGATGGGCATATGAGAGGGAAAGCGGCGACAGATAGAGCTGGCTGCCTAGGGGTCTCAGAGGCTTCATCCTGCAGGCGGCAGGACAAAGGGTCCTTCGAGCTCCAGATCAAGATTCCAAGGAGTTAAACGTTACCACGCAGCCCGACCTGGATGGGATTTGCTCCTGGGTACAAAACGGGACACTGATCAAAATCGACTTGGACAAGTGACAAGAGTGAGTCTGATGTCGGTGGATGTCTTTTAAGGTCGTTGGAGGGAAGAGGACGGGAGGGGTGTGCTGAGGGGTAGGTGGAGAGAGGCACCGAGTCCAGAGCCGGGATATAAAGGCACCAGGAGCCGGGGAGCAGAGGAGCAAATGAGTGGGGGAAAGAGCGAGAGGAAGAGTTGGAGAAAAGTCGAGGGAAAGTAGGGACAGGGTTAAGGGGAGAGAGGAGGATGAGGGCGGCGAGGAGAGATTAAAAGGGGAAGGGGGTCGCTGGAGAGGAGGGCGGACTGTGGATCGGAGGTAGGGAGAGGGGCGAGGGGAGGGCGCGGGGTGGGGGGCGCCGGGGCGAGGAGAGGGGGCTGAGGAAGAGGAGGGGGACAAGAAAGCGAGAGCGGCGCAGGGGAGGGCTAGGAGCCCGGGGCCGGGCCGGGGGCGGGCGGGCGGGCGGGCGGTGGGAGGCGAGATCAGGCCGGGGGAGAGGGAGCGAGCCGGGCCGGGCGCGCAGGGTGGGGAGGCCGTAGGAGGGAGGTGGGGGGCAGGTGGGGGGAAGAGGGAGGGAGCGGGCGGAGAGCCGGGGCCAAGTGCATTGTGTCTGGCGGCGGCGCGCGAGCCCACCGGCGGCTGCGGCGGGGCGGGAAGCCATGGAGCCGCGGGCTCTCGTCACGGCGCTCAGCCTCGGCCTCAGCCTGTGCTCCCTGGGGCTGCTCGTCACGGCCATCTTCACCGACCACTGGTATGAGACCGACCCCCGGCGCCACAAGGAGAGCTGCGAGCGCAGCCGCGCGGGCGCCGACCCCCCGGACCAGAAGAACCGCCTGATGCCGCTGTCGCACCTGCCGCTGCGGGACTCGCCCCCGCTGGGGCGCCGGCTGCTCCCGGGCGGCCCGGGGCGCGCCGACCCCGAGTCCTGGCGCTCGCTGCTGGGGCTCGGCGGGCTGGATGCCGAGTGCGGTCGGCCCCTCTTCGCCACCTACTCGGGCCTCTGGAGGAAGTGCTACTTCCTGGGCATCGACCGGGACATCGACACCCTCATCCTGAAAGGTGAGCGGCGGGCGCTCCCCGCGTCCCCGGCGCCCGCGCGTGGAGCGCAGCCCGCGGCTTCCCAGGGGCGCGCCGGTCCCCGTGGCCCCCTCTCCGCCGCGGCCCCCCGCCCTGGCGCATTCTTGCATCCTTCCCGCCGCCTCCAGCCTTTATCTCGTCCCTTTCTTTCCCCTCTGCCTCCCCTCTTCTCGCTCTCCTTGACTGGCTTCTTTCGTCCTCACCCTGCGTGTCCTTTCAAGTCCGTGCCGCACCTCCCGCCTCTGTCTCCTTTCCTGCCTTCGCCTCCCTTTCCCCGGTTCTCTCTCTCTCCCGGTCTTCTCCGCCTTTGTACACCTGCCTGACATGTGTGTCTTTTCTTGACGCTGCTCCCCGTGAGGGGGACTAACCGTCAAAGACTCGACTTTTCTCAACCGAGCTCCTTCCTTCAAGTTGTGCTTTCCTTTTGGAAATACCGTTTGGAAGAAAAGTGGTGCCAACCTCCGAAGAGGGGGAAGGGGCTTTCCCTGTATTGTAAGGATGCTGGTGTCAGACAGAACTGATGTGGTCATCCCAGCCTGGCGGGGCTGATGGGCAGCGAAGGAGGCCCTGGAACCTTCCTCCACACCCCTGAAGTGCAGGGTGTGTGTAGATTAGACTTCAGAGACCAATCGTTGGCTGGTGGAAGCTGCCCAAGGCAGATAGGACACTTGCTTTCCAACCTTCCTGAGGACCCCATATCTCCACCCTCCTCGCTGTCCAGGCACTGAGGAGAGAAAATGCCCTCACCCTTTAAACTAGAGCTGTCTAGATCTGGGCACTCACTCTCTGCTTATCACTCTGTCTTCTGCTCGTGGTACCTTGTCAGGTTGTTTCTGTTGTTTGTTTTGTTTGGCACTGAGCTGTAGAGCATCAATTTGTTCTTCTGAAATCTGTGCAACACCTGGCTTCTGCGAATGCTATCAGATAGTTTGATTTTTTTTTTTTTGGTAATTCCATTCATGTAAAAATATTCAGTGTGACAAGGATTTGTGAAGCTTCCTTTAACTTTCAGAACTTGATTCAATATATTTTTCCCCTCTTGAGATGAAAAAAAAAAATCAACATCTCTTCTCTTGGACTCATGATGTCAAAAAAGAAAAAGTCCAAAATCAGTACATTTTAATATTTAGTAGTCATTCAGGAAAACAAACGGACAAATTTGTGTTGAGTTACAGTCTGCAATGGAATGACATAGAAAAGAGGGGGTTAATAATGTGTTGGCCTTCAGAGTCTTGTTAGTTGGCGGATTCTTCATTTCTCAGACATGTCAACTTCCTCCTTCCCATGGCTAACTCAGCTGGGGACTGCCATCCAAAATCTGTCTGCGTGTGGAAGGACTCCAGCACTTTTGGGGGAATTGGATACAGTAAAATCTTCCTTTGGGAAGTGCACCATTTTCTTTTCTCTCCTAACTTGCATCCAAATCTGATTTCTCCTCATGAAGATGCTGCATAATTAATTCTGATAGTAGCATAGTACATGAACAAACTGTAAAAGCTGAATGTGGAGGCTCAGTTATGGAGTGCTCATTTAGGTAAGGCAATTTTGAAAGCTAAGCAGTGTAGTCTGTCTTTGGAAATGACAGAACTGCATTTCCTTACACTTTCTATGCTTAGAGTATTTGATTGCATGTAAATTGGATATAGAGCAATGCCTGAAACAGCAGGGCAGAGTCCAACCTACAGTAGAAGAGGGACCCCCACAGGATATTGCACCTTGCCTCTGGAAATGCCCTGGCTAGCTGAGGTGCCTGTTCCTGGGCAGTCCAGGGTCAAATAATCATAGAGGTGGAAGGACTGTAGAGGTCATTGAAGTTGAACATCTACTGGTTGTTCAACTCCATTCTACAGTCTTTCTGACAAATGGTTACCTAGCCCAGTACTTCCATAAGACATAACTCATATACTCGTTAAAAGAACTATATTTTCCCAGTCATGAATGCCTATTTTTAGATGAAAACAATCTCAGATTTATAATATTGATGGTGTTTAGCTAATCTTTTGTGTAGAACACTGAAGAGTTCTAGGTTGTGAGCAGAAGATATGGGCCTCATTGCTGGCTCTGTTGCTAAATTGCAGTGTGTTCTCCAAGTATCAAGGCCTTCTTCGCCTTCAGTTTCCTTGTCTATGGTATTATTAGGAGAGATGACTATTCTTTAGAGAATTTTCTAGTTCGCATATCTGTCATTGTTATAATTAATAACAATGTAAATTTAGCTTCTTGCAAAGTTAATGAGCTGACGCTATTAAGGAACGAGGAGTTTGGAGGAAAGAACAGGCATTGGTACATTATAGGATCATAATTTGTTGTTTGGGAGATGTCCAGAAATGCCTTGCAACATTGCTACTAACCAACCTTGGGCTAGTTACATAATTCTTCTAGATCTCAGTTTCATCATCTGTGAAATGTATGGGTGACATGAACAGCTTTAAAATTCTGAGTCTATGAATAATTTGAGAAAAGAAAATGTCACCAACATTTTCCTGTCTCAAAGATGATTTTGGCACCCATATTAGGCAAACATTATCACCTTTGTTTTGGCATCTGACATTAGTGGCTGTGGTATGAATTTCTTAAATGAGCCATTTATAAAACTAGAAATTAACACTATGTCTAATTTTAAAATTTGAGCAACTAGAGTCCCAAGTTCTATTCTTTCTTCTATACATTACCTTGTTTATGAGTCTTAGCATCGTTTAGAAATTTTAAATGTAGGAAATGAAGAAAAGTTTTCTCAGATTGGAGAGTGGGGAGGGGTGGAAAAAGGGCTCAAGAACTGCCTAGCATACTTAGTGAGCTTCTGAGAGGCAAAGATGTCAGGTCTAGGTCCACAGGACCTAGAGGGCAAAGCTGGGAGTTAAATGAGGAGTGCAAGGAAGAAAATGTAGAGCTGATAATATGGAAAGCATTCTCATAATAGGAATTATTTACATTTCCTATTACTGGAAGCAAGACAAGAGAGATATATTTCTGAGAGATGTACAGGAGATAGAAACATGCAATGTGGGCAATAAGAGATTAATTTAGAAATATGCACAGACTCTACAATATTAGTCTACTTAAGATAAATCACTGGAGTTAGAAAAGCATTTATCTCAATGGGATAAATATTTGGGAGAATCATCAAATTCTTGTTTTCACACTCACATTATGATGCTAGTTCACTTCTATCTAGCCTAGACCCTGGAATGGTCTAGGCTTGACCTTCAGCCAGAACTTTCAGTAAGAATAGAGGTAAAGTTATTGATAAGCTCATTAAAAACCAAGACTAGAACCCTATGCTATTCTACCAGACTGACAAATAAAACAAAACAAAATATTTGCCAGCATAGTTTAAACATAGTTGTCTTTCTAGCAGCAAGTTCTCTTAACAGTGCTATATTGACCAATCCACATTTCACTATCTTGTTCACTGGGATAACGTGAGAACTTATCAAATGCTTTAGAGATATTACATTCATACTGTATTTCCATATTTACTATCCAATTCAGTAAATGCCCATTAGAAGCCTATTATGTGCAAAGTAATGCTAGAAGATTTTGGCTAAACATGTGGGGGTTCTTTTGTGTTTAAGTTGGTCAGATGACTCTAAATTAGTCTTCCATATATGCCCTTCTTGCAGCACTGGCTAGCTTTTGATGCCGAGGAAGCTTTGCTGGTTCAAGTAAGGACTGACTTGGAAAAGTATGCAAATGAAATCAGCCTTTACCCAGCAACTTGAGTGCTGGAATAGTTGAACAAAATGGACTTAAAGCTTAGGGCTTCAGGTACCTCTGTGGCACTGGGAATGTTGGGGGCGGGGGTTGAAAGAAGTCTTTAGGTGTAAAAATCTGTAAGGTAAGTGAGTGTGTCATGGATTACAAAAGGATGCCAAGAAATGACAAGTGACCTAAAGATAGTTCTTCATTAATTCATCCATTTATTCACTCAACAAATAGACATTGGAGGTTGGTTATTGTATCAGGTGTAGCAGATACAGGAGTGAATAAAATGGATAAAAATCCCTGCCTTCATAGAGTTTATTTCAAGGAGTGGAGTTTGTATTTCCTAGTGGGTTATATTATAACTACTCTTAGTAGGTCGTAGGACCAGGGTGGGAGAATACCTGGGGATGGCTGATAGCACTGATGGGTAAATGACAGAAAATACAAGGCAGAGTGATTGCACGCAGCATCCTTTGGGGGACTCCTAGCTGTTCTCTCCCAAGTGCAGTATGTTTGTTTCAACTACTGGA